ATGCTTCACACTCTCAATTGCTAGTGAAGAAAATTTTGCAGATACAGAAAGAGAAATCCAAGGGAATATTTCATCACCTGAATATGAAGAAGACTTAGAAGAAAATAATCGATGGATCCAAGTACATTTTTCTGCATTAGATGTTCCTGGATGCTAAACGAAATGGCAATGGAATGGATGCATAATAACTGAAAGTATCGAAAAAACAGCTACGGTTGTAATGAAAATGACCATCATTCTCATTGGTATTGCACTAAATGTTATCAATGTGCTAATCCATATGGAAACTATATATCCTCACCAACAGAACAAACTATTTGTCATTGTAATGAACATGAATATTACGAATATTTAAATATGACAGTTTATGAAGAGGAAGCAGAAAATGAATAATCACCTGAACAATTAGAAGATATTAGTAGATCAGAATTTAACTTCAGTGAAGAAGAAATGGAATCTATTATCGATAGAAGAGAACAAGATTGGAGACAGGACTTGCACAATATTTTCTTAAAAGCTGCTGAATTTAGGCAAACTATCATCAAACGAATGAATGGTAATAAACTTGAGGAATTTGCTCAAGAGTATTTTGTCAATTGTACTCTTTGTGGAATAATCATTACCACTAACTTAGATCATGAATGTATTGTTTGATACAATCTTGGACAAATACATCCTGAAATGGTACCTAAAACTCTAATTAATGAAGTATTTTGGAATATACCCGAAAAAGTATAACAAGATGATGAAGCACATCTTGTAGCAGTTGAATTATTGAACCCAATTAAGAATCCTCAAACATGTGATTAGACTGAGAATGAATTAGATGAAATGTTTGGACTGTTTGCATCTCTTATTATCCCTATTTACTCATCCAACTTTGATGAAACTCGTAGTAAAGTTAGCACCCCAGACTATTAGTTTTATTATTTATTTTAACATTTATTTAGTTTTAAAATAGTAAATTTCAATATTATTTATATATTTTATTTTATTTTAAAGAGTTAACACCTATTTGAATAACAATTAGTGAGTGAAAGTCTCAACGTATGAAAATTTTAACTAAGTGAAAGCGAAAGTGTCAACAACGTGATTGACAACTTAAGTTAAACAAAATGGAAGAAAATCGATATAACTAGTTGAAAGAATATTTAACTATTTTAGTATTACCGAATGATAAAAAATTAGCAAATCAGATTCAACGATAATCAAAACATTTTGAGATTTTAGAAAATTAATTATTTAAGAAAGACAAGAAAAACAAAGGAAATTTTCTTAAAGTTCTAAAAACATGAAATAGAAACAGTTCTTTATGTGACACACAATTACCCAACTGGAGGACACTTAGGAATTAAAAGGGTCTTTGAAAAAATTAAAAAAAACTATTATTAACCGCAAATGTTCAAAGACATTAGGAACTATATTAAAGGATGTGACTCTTATCAAAGAAGAAGGAAGCCTTCAAAGAAAACATTATTACATCCTATACCAGTTGGAAAACCTTTTAAGAAAATCAGAATAGATTTCGTAAGACCTTTACCACTTACGAATAATGGAAAAAATACATAATCGTAGCAACTGATTATTTAACCAAATGGTCTGAAACGAGTGCAAAACCTGCAGCTGATGCAAATACAGTTCTGAAATTTATTTATGAAAATATAATATGTCAACAAAAATGTCCAAAATATATACTTTTTGATTGAGGATCACATTTTCGAAACAAAGTAGTAGACGGATTAATGAATAAGTTTGAAATCAAGCACTTATTATCTATATCCTATCATTCTCAAACTAATGGATTAGTTAAGAGATTTAATAAAACCTTGTGTGAATCTATAGCAAAGACAACAAAAGATTTACAAAAATGGGATACTGTTATAAATTCAGTGTTATTTGTTTATCGAACTGCAAAAAATTCTACTACCAAGTATACACCATTTTATTTGACTTATAGAAGAGAAGCGAGACTTCCAATCACCATTTTTGAAAATGAAATTTTGGAATTAAATTTAGAAGATTTAGAAATAAATCGACAAAAAGCAAAAGAAAATGTTATAAAAGTGCAGGAAAATCAAAAAAGACAGCATGATTCGAAAATAAAGAAACCCATAGAATATCAAATAGGAGATAAAGTCCTATTATATGAAGCTGCAAAAGAAAAGACTTAGACTGGAAAATTAGAAGATAAATGAAAAGGACCATTTTATATTCATGACAAATTGTTAAATAAAGCTTAAGTAAGGCAAATATGGGGTTTCTGGGACAGATTTCAAAATAGTATTCAGAAAAGATTTCTGACCGCCTGCGAACCCA